ACTTGAAAATAACTCACTAGTGTCGCGTGAATTGAAAATGACGAAGGCACCAAGATCATACAAAATTTTGAATTCCCAAACTTTTCTTACTCGTGATCTTTACTGGTTTCAATGGAGCTGGACTGAACTACCATATTTCCAAAACTTGTAAAAATGTAGATTAGATCTAAAGATGGAATTTCGTGTCAAACTTTTTGAATTTGATGTCACTGTATATTATAATAATACAGGGAGAAAAAAACGACAGGTTCTTCCCAGTAAATGGTCAGCCGCCGTAAATTTGAGAACGGATAACGTAGCTTGTCGACATTCACAAGTGCTTGTAACAGCCAAGACTGAATAAACGATATTGAATTTTAATATGAAGCTGAGATCTCTACGGACTATCTGGACTACTTTGGCGGTAAAAAAATCATTGTCCTACACTTCGAAATTTCACCGTTATGAGTTGTTCGAAGAAAACATCCTAGATGTAGAAATTTAAGGGAAGACTTTGGAGTCGATTCTTCTTCTACATTACCATACCGTTCGTGAAGTAGCTATGAAAATAATAATCAAGATGATATCATAGCTCCAATATGAATTTATATATGATGAAGGGATTTTTCAGAATTGCTCCATCTCACCTGATGTTACGTGTAGGTGGAGTCTAGTCGCTAATATAGATAGTGAAGAAAAACATCTCATACTAGCCACCAGTCACTTTACTGATCTTAACCCTGAGTTACATCGCTATGATTCACAGCAAGAATATAATACAGCACAAGAGAAGTGTGATATCAACTGCGGTGTGAATTCTTTATTGTGATTACAGGAAGTTGGTGTTGAAGTTTCCTAAGAAAAAGATTCTTAGAAATGATGTTCATTTGTTTAGTTCTTTAGGAAAAAACTTCCATTTAGATTTTATTATTCCCTATAAGCATTCCTAACACCAAACGAGTGCAAAGTCTATTCAGTCTCAGAATCAAAACCATCTGAATCAAAAGGTATTTTTTTATTATTTAGGTATGCACATCCGATTTGCATTTCATTTCATTTCAAATGAAAATCTGTTCCATGTTTCAATCTTGGCCCTGCCCGACTTCGAAATCAAACTAGGACGTGCCCGATTTCGTATAAACCGAATATAATTTTTTTCACTTTCCAGTTCTGTTTTCGATTTGAATTCAAAAGAAGAAAATTTACCTATTAATTTGAATAAATGACATCATAGGCAGAAATATTCAAAAGGAAACCTTCGAATTTTGCCCAATTTCGTACCTTGGTACAAATTATCGCAAAAACATCTAAAATTATACCATAAAAGTCTCACTCATCAAAATGTTAATTAATTCTGCGTATAAAGCAACGTTGTTACTTACACGTAATTTGTCATTGACTGACAGATGACAGATAATACTATTGGTTTAAATTCATTTTCTTGATTGTGACTGGTTGTATACCGTAGCTAATTTTTATTAATTTATAGATGCACGTTTACCATCATATATGATCTGTGTTGCCATTCATATATATGTTTAAGCGATATATTTATGTGGTACAAGTGGATGTTAAACTCTACTTATATTTTTGATGAATTCAGCGGTTTTTTCTTCACATAAATGCATGGTAAAACTCGAGGTACAAAATTCGGCAGAGTTGTCCAGAGAAAAGAATAGATCTTATATTTGAATAAACAGACGTGCTTTTTTTGCATTCAATCTAAGTGTGAAACTACGATTTCACGGCACGACTCTGTTGAACGGGCCCAACGTAAAATTCACAGTCACCATTTGAAATATAGATCTGTACCTAAACACGAACAATGTCCTCATTGCTTCCGACCTTTTACAACAATCGGATGGGTGATCTCTGAATATCAAGCGCGCAAGCATTATTTTGGATGTACTTACTCGATAGAAATATGGTCGTCTCTTTTCACTCTGAAGAATTTATGGCGTTAACGACAAGTTCATTGTGGGGACTGAGACAAACGAAACGATAAAGGTTTTAAGTATTTTCAAAATTAAGATACAGAAAGAAATGAAATATCTATAATGGTATTACGACATATAAGGAAAGACAAATTTAATATGGTATGGTTAATGGGTGGACTTACATGAATAAGATCTATACTAAAGTATGTATAGATTTAGGTTCCTATCTCAAAGAGTAACTTTGAGGGCCCCTCAATCCCGAAAAGGATAAAATTTGTGAAACTTTTATATATGTCACGGTAAAGTGTAAAATGGCTTTTGAGAATTTTCTCTAAATGATCATTAAGTAATTCCAAATTCATAGTAAAACCAAACTGATCGGGCAACTGATCATTTGAAAGTTACTAAAGAACATAATTAAATGGCAGAAATAAAGCCTTGTTGATATGAATTAGGGCATCTAAAAACTAAGAACTAGAAATAAATCGCCCAGAAATAAGACTGAATCAACTGAATGATAAAACTTATTGTTTAAATGAGACTATATGAGAATCGACGAACGCTGTAAACGATGTCTGCAAACCCTTTTATTAAAAATTCCTTTGCTTGTAGACCAAATTATTTTTGATGCTAGTGACGATGAGACGAGATGAATGCTCTACGTAAACATTTCGCAGCATCAAATTCTTTAGAATTGTTAATTAGGGAGCGCTGTAAGAAACGAGATTGACTCAGTCTTCTGTACTTTTTCAGACAGAGATTCAATGGAACGATCTGAAATATCAGCAATTAGATTTTTTATTATAAGCAACCAGTGATTAATTTAACATCAAATCAAATATATCATAGCAAAGAATTCAGAACATTTACACTACAAATTCATATTCCACATTTTTAATAAGATCTTGTCGAACTATAACTTTTTTCCATCATATAACTCAAACTCAAAATAATTTATTCAGATTAGGCTGTTACAAGCACTCATGAATGTCTAGAAGCTACGCCATCGGTTCGTAAATCTACGGTGGGCATTGAACTGTTATTACTACTGTGGAAGACCTTGTAAAACTTATGAAATAGAATTAACATGTCGATATAGAATTGAATTAAGAGTTACAAAACAACTCAAAGGATGCCAAACACACTACCGATTCAAATCCATTCAGATTTAAAGTTTAAAATAAGACCGTACAGTACACTCTTAATCTTGCAATTAACAAGTGCACTTCGTCATTTAACAAGAGACACAAGTCTATTTAGTACAGGGAAGCAAACAAATCAATTAATGAAGCGGTAATTGCCATTTGTTTGAATAAACCAATGTTAGTGCCAATTTAGTTTATGGGTATTTATTCAGAAATATGCAATTGTGACGTCCTTTCGAATAATTAGTTGCAACTTGATGATTTTCACAAATTTACGGTATATTTAGTAAAAGACAGTATTTCACTTGCTATTGCTTTAAATATAAGTAGTTTAGAGCAAACTTCGTAATCATAACCTTTATCCTCAAATCAGATACACTGTTGATTTTTAGTAAATATAAAAATTATACTTTTCTTACAAGTAACTAGCGGACTGTTTTTCTTTCGAGATTCAAAATGAGGTCATTTTATTCAGGCAATTATTTAGTCTAAGTACACATCACAACTAACTGAAAACTAATAAGAGAGAGAGAATTATGAAGAAAATGTTATTACCGACGCTGGAATCATAAGCCGTGCAGGATTTCACTCCGTTAATGCTGACAAACAATGTTCTGAGGAATTCGTCTTTAATATATTTCTTAATGAGATTCCGAGTTGGCGATGTACGTGATATTTTGATTGTAGGCACAGAGTGTCTCTTACAAGATTGGTTTGTTGTGCGAAATTTGATATTTCCCCAATCTAAATCTGTCTGGCGTCATTAAAAACTTTGGATGTTTCAGACTGATGTGTATCGTGTTTCATTTGAAATTTAAATTAAATTGGATTTTCAAATTGTATCTTTAGTATTCCATGAATTAGAACATGCTTATTTTTATTTAACCGCTTACTTTTGTTACTTTGTATTTTAAAATTCAGCATTATCGTAATTATGTTTATCAAAATCCCTAGCGAAAACTTGAATAGAGATATCTTTAAAATGTTTGTGGAATCCATATTTGAATCATATCGGTTATTTTCGTTATAAATCTCATTTACGTGTCCAACGGCAAATTTGTTACCGTTAACTAATATGAAGCCATCAATTCATTAAGGGACACCCTCTTTGAAGTCCATCATCGCTTCATTTCCAGACAAGATAACGTCTTGTGGGAAATTACTATATTATAAAAAAAACTTTTATTTTCAGCTGTATCATCTGTTGATTACAGATGATTAATAGTCGTATTTCTTTTTATTTTTAGATTCAAATCAAGGATTTTATTTATACGCTAGTAGATCAACAGAAGCATTTCTGTAAAATCCAATATTACCATCCAACATTTATTTCACCGGTACACAAAACGTAAGCTGTAATAACAATATTATCAATACTAAATGCACCACTTGGTTTGCAAATACAAAGTTTGACGTTTGAGTAATATTAATGAATCTAGCTACCAAAATAAGACTGTCTAATCCAAGAGATGTCCAAGACACCACGTCGCAGAATGACGAGAATGCCCCGCCACTATCCCTTTCGTGGCAGTTAACTCAAAATAGCTAAAAGACATTTCAAAACATTTACTCTACCGAGAAACGCTTAACTCTTGTCAGTTTAGTAAAAATAGCTGCACTCAGAGCTTGGTAGGCAAGCGACCCTACATAATAGTGCCAGACCTGTGTGCGACTGTATTTTTAAAATGTTTTGTTTGGATAACATTGCATTAGGGACGACATGTTTGTTAACATGTTTAGGGTTTACGACGTAATCTTGATTTGGGATTTGGGGATTTGTTACTTTGAATCTGTTTTACAAAATTAGTCAAAGGTTCAACTCGATATTTTTGATGTTTTAATTCCTTTTTAGATTTGTACCGAAATAATTCTATTGTGATTAGATTGCGTTCGACTGAAGCAGCACACACACATTAAGAAACAATATTTTGTACTTTGTCCTCTAGCCAGCGTCATGGCACTCAGTGTCATGGCATGTGCTGATTTTATGTCCCACTGTAACACCATTATTTTTTTTTTAATCGAAGCTGTATTTTGTTTGTGATTGTTGTACTACAGTTGGAAAAAATGAATTATCTTTGTTTCTTCATGTTTATTTCTATTAAAGGCATTAAACATTGTAATAGTGTGTGAATCAGAGTAATTTTAAAGTATGAATAATGTTCACACCTTTTTTAATTATGATAGCCCAGTCTTGATTCAGGTAAGAAATAATTTGAAGGCTTAATATTGTTCAATTTCATCTTTTCTTCTTTCAAGCTTTCACAAGGTCATATTTTTTTTACGATGAATACACAGATGATTTCAGGAAATAATTTCAAATAATGTTCTTGGAATCAAGATATCAAATGTGGAACTTAAATTATGCACTAAAATCAAATTGCCAGTATTTTAACAATCTGAATCAATGAAACATCAAATTAATATTTGACATTAAATTTCAAAAAATTCAAAAAAAGCCGGAATTCTGTTTTTTCAGGACTTAATGTAATTTGAGGTGTTTTGGTATAATAATTGTTGAAAATATTTAAGTTTGCTTGAAAGTTATTTATTCATGTCAGTTTATTCAGCTTTCGTCTTCCTTTTTAATATTTAGTGCTTATATTATTGGACTTGAATTACAGAGAGGTTTTTTTCAAGCAGAATTAGCTTTTAATAAATATAATTTTGACTGAGTCGTTTCAATTTTAATTATCAGATTTTGTTTTATCATCTTCATATAGTTGTTCTTTTGAGTGTATTTTGTTATTTTATTCTTCATTATGATTTACAAATACGTAATCTTTGAAGTCTTTATTTTCGCACAGACAACATTATTCCTACGCCTTATGATTCCAACGTTCTCGTCTTAAACACTACCTAAAAATATGTCAACTGTCACTAAATGCATATGGCTAACTCAAAACCGGTCTATTTCACCTACTATAATTAACTATTTGACTATTTCGTTTATAATGCATAAAAATGGTTCACACAAGAGAAAAATGGCACCGGCATGTGTCATTCGTATGATCGTCTGCAGTGTGTACTAAGAAATGCTTCTCACCTCTATTAGTAGACTCCACAAGATCAATTTCATAGACGAAGATTTCTGAATGCTAAGATTCAAATATAAAAAAATGGCATTATCTAGAATATGCCTGAATAACATATTCTTGGACACCATTTTAAGGATAATTATTTGTATATAATTAAACGCATATCCTATCGTTTGATCGAGAGAAAATTATATGTATATAAAAAAAAAGTTAATAAAGCTGAAATGCATAATCAGTCATTGAGTGAGTGGTTGAAATTAACGTTAGTTCACTTCTTCACATTAAGATACATAAATATTTATTATATTTATCACATAGTAAAAAAAGCATTTAAAGACACAAAATTTACAATCTAAATAAACCAAAAATCACAGTTTTTTCTGGACATTATTAACAACCTGCCCAGGTTAGTTTTTCATTTCTCATCCAACATAAATTAATTATAAGTCGTAAGGGAAAATTATGATAATAATAATAGTAATAGAAAGATTGTCTTTTCAACTAAATTAAAAGCTACCTAAATCTTTTTCAATCTATATAAGATTATTAACTATAATATCTGCACTTGATTCGTGGTGAATCCTAAGTCTTATACCAATATTCATCATTGCAATAATGAAAATATAAAAATTGTTTAATTCCTAGTGGTTTAAGAAACCTATTTTATCATTATACATGTTAACATTCTTTATATATATATATATAATATAGATTTAAACGTAACTACACCGTAGTCGCAGCATATCGGCTGTGGGTTCACCGTTGCACATTCGTTTATCCATAGGCCATTCGATTAGTTACTAAACACAAAAAATTAGGCTTCCATCAGACCTTGAATTGAATAATCCCGATTTAAAGTCACTACGTACTTACAAGTTCAAGTTACGTCCACAATCCTTTAATTGAGGGGCACTGGACACACTATTCACGAGAACACTAGAGTGTCTGGTCGCAAATGGAGCGACTGGAACGTCTGTATGTGGGCTGGACACGGCTTCGCAGTAATATCCTGACGGGGTGGCCTAGCAGCCCTAGCACATATTCACCGAGCCAGTGGTGCAAGCACGGCCGTCGCCGCCAGAGCCAACGCTAGCGACGACGCCAGCGCCGCACCTCTCGAGTAACTCAGCTCTTCGCTCTTCACCACCTCGTTCTGCGCTTTGTCGTACTTGTGCGTTTTCTTCGTCACCGGCTTCATCGTCGAAGTTGTGGTCGTAGTCGAGGTTGTGGTAGGAGGCGGAGGAGGTGGCGGTGGCAGAGTCGGCTGCGGCGGCGGCGCCGGCGACTGCTCCTCCGGCTTGCAGCAAACCCGAAACACTAACTTCATATTGTGACTGAGACACCGCCCTCCGATCCTTCTGTGTAAATCGTCCTTACTCGACGTAGATATGAAATAGTAGTCTTTCCCAGGCAGGAATTCTAAGCCTCCAGGCTGAGGGGTGAAAGGTCTGAAAGTTATGGTGAAGAACATCAGCTTGTGCGGCTTGTCGCATATAGCTATGATGCGTGGGTTGGGATTCGTAATCCTACAAGTATCGTACTCCTCTTTGCTCACATTGTATATAATGTATTTCTCCGTATCCTCCTCGTATGTACCTGGTGCGTAAACGGGACATATTATGTTCACCTGGTCGTATTCAAATTGAGCGTTGCCTTTATTCAAATCGAAAACGTGATCTGTATTGTCTATCCGGAATATGCTGTTGGTTGTGTTCCAGTGTATGTAGAATGACTTTGCGTAATTCCCCATCACGCTTTCTATGAAGAATATCAGGACTAGGAGAGTCCATGGCGTTTGCCGGAGTCCGAAGTAATTCAGCGACACCATTGTTACACCTTCACCGTGCTTGCATTATACGATAGCGTTACACCAACTATGCACTGTCAAACGTGCACCATCCATTTTCACATTATAAAATTACGTTCCCTGATCTCGTACATTATTGTTAAAAGCACAATTTCACACATAAAACAAGTTTGGAACGTCCAATTTAGTCACTGCAGCGCCCCTGCCTCCATGTTCGTGGCTTGCACGTTAGATTCTATTCATCGATAATCGTGGAATTTCGACGTGGCTGACACGGTAATAAGCGACGAAACGTACACTTCTTACACTGTTAACGAGTTATTTTGTACACTGAACGCCGATTGTACACTTTTTCCATGGGTATCGGGTCGGGATAAATCAATACATCACTGGATTTTTTACAATACTTAGATGTTCTTTGTATGAGGGAGGGCGACGCGGCGACGAAATGGCGCTGTGTACGCCGCGCGGGGAGCAAGCGAACTACTGGAATGCAACCGGGCCTCTGTACGCATGCGAACCCCTCCCCTTCGCCCCTCCAAAATGGCGCGTTCACGCTCGTAAAAAGCTTCGGAGCTTTCGCTGCGGTATGATTCGAGACCTAAGCTCTTAAAAAACTTATTACTTTAACCTTTTTAATTTTCAAACGTTAATTTTGAACGAAATGAGGTTTTATTCGTTTATTATTGTTGTTTAAATCGTAAAATGTCTGTGTTGGAAAGATTTAGAGGCGTATTATTGAATTTAGTTTGAGTGAACGCTACAGTAAAAAGCTTTGGTAAAAAGTGGGAGCAAACAGGCTTATTGCTTTGGGTCAGACGATGGGACGGGCTCCCCAGACGCCCGATGCTTTCGGGTTAAATATAAATATCTTACTGTATCTGTGTTTGTATTGTCTTAATGATGTTTTACGACTGATTTAACGTGATAACACGTTAATAAGACAATCTGGTTTCATGACAAATTATAAAAAAATTTGAACATGTGCTTATTATACGAATAAAAAGATACCAATAAATTTATAATGCAGATTCAATATCAATTATTAAAATGAACATCATGCATAAAATAAACATAATGGGTTTTAGAATTATGTCTAGACGTTTTTTATTATTAAAAAATTACACTTAAGACTTTACTGAAAATGTGTTTAACCTACACCTATTAATTATTGATCGAAATCCAATTATAATTGATTTGTTATAAAACAAATTGTTACGAAATCCATAATTGATTGGAAATATTTGAATACTTCAGTATCTACAAAATATTAATTACATTATTAGAATTTTAGAAGTGTCTTTCAATCTGCAAAGTCTTAAATACATTACTAGAATTTTAGAATATCAATAATACCTACAATATAGGTTTTAATTGAATTGGTGTCCTTTTGAAAGAACAAATATAATTATGTTTTTATTTCTACATAATTAATAAATGAGATGTATAAGTACTGACATTATTCATCATCATCATCTGTTGGTGGATTAATGTCCTCACTGCAGGGTAAGCATTCCCTATGGATGGGCCATGACCCACCACACGCCCTGTGCGGATTAGTGGGTGCTAACGTCTGCAGACGCATCCGGTACCAACGACTCTACGAGCCTTCCGAAGCACGATTGAGGTAAAGATAGTAAATTTTTGGTCATCATCAGCCAAATAATGTCCCCACTGCTGGGCTCATGCCTTCCCAGTGGATGGAAATGGGAGATTGGGCCATGACCCACCATTCGGGCCCAGTGCGGATTGGCGGGTGCTAACGACTGCAGATGCAGCCGGGACCAACGGCTTAACGTGCCTTGCGAAGCACGTAGGAACTCGAGATAGAAGATTTTCGGTCACCCATCCAATGACCGACCACTGCGAAAGTTGCTTAACTTCAACGATCGCAGCCGAACGCGCTTACCACCCGCGACATCGAGCTTCTCCATTTATTTTATATTTAATTAAATTAATTAGATAATAATATTTTTGGAATACATATTTTAGATAAAGAAATTTGTTTACCAATAAACCCTTTATATTTATATAATATAACCGTTTATCAGTTGACAAATAAACATACTTATGTTAGTGCTTTGCATATCTTATTTGCTTACAATTTTGTCGGTACAAGATTAATATCAATACAAATATTTTATCAACATTGTAAATGATAACTGGCAGATAAAAAGTTGTAAGCAGCTTTTTAAATAAATCGTTTAGTATTATTTTTTATGCACTGTTTTAAGATATACACAGTCAGGTCGTAAGTATTGTCACACAGTAAAAACTTTTCTTCTAGAATGCTGGCCACAAAAAAGTTTATTGAATTCAAATTTTGAATTGTTCATGAAAATATAAATGCATACTTTTTAGAATATTACTCATTTATAAATATGGAGTGGACGCATAAAGAAGACCGTGTTGCAGTTACTGCGTTGCATTGTTGCGGTTACGCGCCAATTCAAATTTTAATATAACCAAAAGATTCGTTTATCGTACCATCAAACTTTGTAAAAACACATTCAAATCCTTTACTCTCTATCGTTAATCTCATTATAAGATCGACACATTCGAAAAAGTGCATTCATAGACTTTCATAGATTTAGCTTCGCCGAGTCGGTTTCCAGCCCAAAACTTTTCTCTGTACCCATTTGCGACAACAATGTTACTTTTAATAAAGCACTTTTTCGAATGTGTTGATCTTATAATGAGATTAAAGACAGAGAGTAAAGGATTTCAATGTGTTTTCACAAAATTTAAGGTCATTTATTAAAGTTATAAAAAAGTTTCATTGTAATTTTGAAAATGTATATCTTGATCCTTAGTACGAGTTTGAGCTCACGAAAACTATCATAGTTTTCGTAATTGTAAAACTCGTACTAAGGGTACTGATTGCAATTCAGTTGAATGGATAATTGATTGAATTAAATACAAAATCAATTCATATGATAATAATAAATGTAAGTTTAAAATTTTGATTCTATATTCTAGTTAAACGTTGTGTGCAACATTCACAGGGATTCAATTTTATTGCGGAACTTATTTTAAGATATTATATGTAAATGTATCAAATTGTTTTTAATAGTTGTACCTAACAATAAATAAATAACATTAATGCGTTATTAACTACTAAATAATATTAAAAACACACGCAAAGACGATGTTTCGTTACTTGCAGTACTAATTTCGTTTAGCATAGGAAAAGAATGATGGCGAGCTTTTTGAATACTGCTAACGCCATCTATCCACCCAGTGAGTAAACCTAACGAAAGCTGTATCTCTATTTAGAATCGCTCGCTTTGCGTCAAACGCTGGAGTTCTCCTGATTTCCATTCGACATAATGAATACAGTAATTTTTAATCGCTTGGTGAAAGGTGAAGGCGAATAATAATAATAACCTTTATTTCTCACTATATTCACAAATGTTCAATGTATGATATTAATGAAAGTGCATAAAAATAATGATATAAAATCATTACATTATTTATAACACATTTCGCTCGTAAAGCGTCTCTTATTGCACCAATTTCAATATCATAATCTATCACATTACACACGCGTGCGGTAATGTAAAGTAAAACGTACAGCTTATTATGTACCGTCTAAAAACGAACGTTATTTTTTTAAATCTTAGCAAAGAGTTTTTATGTCAGAAAGGTAGCCAACATTTTCTTAATAAAATTAACTTTGGGAGATAAAATATATTATATTGTAAACATTTAATTTTGTAATTTGATTCATTTTGACAATAAATTACAACCATGTATCGGTAACCAATTCACAATAATATTAATTTACTACATTAGTAAAACTGGCTGTTTTTTGTTCCTTTGCCTAAAAAAAGCTAATCTGTGAAAAATTGTTTTTATTTGAAAATATTGTCAAGTCGAATTTATTAATTTGGCACCGCCAGAAGTGGAAAAAGGCTATGCTAAGCCTCTTGCCCAAAAAATCCACGGATAGATACTTACAGTCAAGCGTATCAAAATTTCATCTTATGGAAAACAAACAAAGGTGCAAATTCATTTTCAGAAAGTACGTACGTAGGCAATATTATTTCCTCGCAAATGTGTTATAAAACGTCGTATGACATACTCTGCCTTCTTATAGCACTCACCTACGGCTCGGGCTAACAATATCGCCTCGGCTGTAATTCTTAACTTACCGCACTTATATCAAAATGTACTATTATTACATAAATAAAACACAGGTAAGTATTGATCAGATTAGATGCTGGGTTGACACCTGAACTAGGATGAATCTCGCGTCTCATGTAATCAACCCTCCACCCCATTCATAATTTTGTGTACTGTTTAATTTGAATGATTCAATAATTATCAAAGTGTCAGTTATTTTCAAGATTTTTTCTCGTTTTTTTTAATTACTTACAGATAAGATGACGTTTTGTTGTGAGTGACGTTTTGAACCAATAACAAAAAAAGCAAAAGATAATAATATTAAATAAGTAAATATTTCCAACACACACACCACTTAGCCTAGCCCCAAAGTAAGCACTATAAGGCTTGTGTTATGGGATGCTAGGGTAACGGATAGAATACATTTGTATTCTACATATACAAAGTATATTTATATTGAAACTAGCTGACCCAGCGAACTTCGTACCGCCCTAAAAAAATAGGGGTTGTCCAGCGGACAAAATTGTGAATCTAAACCATTCTCAGATCCCCTTGAACACACACAAAAAGTATCATCAAAATCGGTCCAGTCGTTTAAGAGAAGTTCAGTGACATACACACTCACAGAAGAATTATATATATAAAGATAAATATTAAACATACATGACTGGAGAACAAATGCTCGTATTCATCACACAAAAATCTGCCCCCACCGGGAATCGAACCGGGACCACTCGAGTCGGCGTCACCATGAAACCCGGCGTACAAACCACTCGGACACGGTCGTCAAATAAATAAAATTGTATATTCCGTTTTAAACTGTACCCTTAACACGAACTAATATCGAATTCGTAACGTTTGCGAGTCCGAAATGTCACTGTCCAATGTGTACTGATTTTTAGTTCTCGTTACGTACTTTGTGGCGCTGCTGTTCAAGTTTCCATACAAAATTTGACATTGACATTTAGCAAGAACTAACTATTGGAATTCGATAATGGTTCGTGCTAGGGGTACTGGTAACACTATAGACCAGTGTTTCCTAACCATTCCAATACTGCTACCCCTGTAACCTATTAGGGAAACAGATTTTATCCCGACTTTAAAATGTTATCATCAGTCCAAGAAATTCCAATTTGGCCGCTACATCTTCGTCTCTAATAATGTCATCATCAGGAGGAAATCTCGCCCCGCTTCCCACACTCAGCACCCCGCGGGCTCGCTAGCAAGAAGGAGCGAATGCTCTATTTAGTAGTATTATTTAGATTTGACCAAATAATTAGGTTCTTTGTTACCCCCGAAGTATGACTGATTTACCCCCGGAGGGGTAATTACCCCCAGGTTCGGAACCCAGGCTATAGACGAACG